GTGGCGTCCCCGGATCGTGAAGCCCTCCAACCCCAGGGAGGGGGCGCGCGGCGGCTGCAGCTGCGGAGGGGGAGCCTGGGCCTGTCCTGGAGCGCCCTCTAGCGTCCCCAGAGGGACTTGCAACCTGTCCTTTGCCCATGGGTGGACGGGTTTTGTCCTTGCCATCCTCTGCTCACCTCCTGGCCCTGGCTTCACAGTCCTCATTGCACAGTGACTAACCTGGGATCGAGGGTGTCCTCTGAGCTTCTCCGTCCTATTGTTCCTGCTGCTAAAACACCCACCCAAGCCTCGCTGTCCTAAACCAGACTTTTCCTGCGATTATCACGCAGGGCCCAGGGACAAGTCCAACCTTCTGGGAACCTTACAAGTTCTGCACCAACTGTCCCACTAGCCTCATTTTAAATACTTTGCCCTTGGGCAACCCTGCCTTCCTGCAGCCCTCAGTCACCCCGACCTTTCGCCGTGCTGGTGTTCATTCAGGTAACTCCTCCTTCTATCTCTTCTCTACCTGGAAAACTCCTATTTGTACTCCAGAACCCTATTACCTCTGGGAAAGTGCGCTCCAGTAGCCCATTCTCTGTCCATGGACTCCCCTGGATCTGAGCCAGTGCTGTCCTGCATTGTCTGCCTGTCTGTCTGTTCTTCTACTAGATGTGAGCACAGGGGCTGAGGGGTTCTCCTCTGTGCCTTACTTTATTTATTTATTTCTGGTACCGGGAATAGAACTCGTGACCTCACATTTGCCAGGCAGGCGCTGTGCCGCCGCTGAGCTAAATCCCCAGCCCCATGTGCCTTACTTTAGAATGAGCACATGACGTCTATACTGATGACCAGAACTGGGGTCAGTTCTAGAGAGTCTCCAACCAAGCCTGAGGCTGGGGAGCGGGCCAGAGAACTCCTTTCTGGGGAGGTGTGCAGGCCTTGGGGGGCAGGCACTCGGGGAGCAGCCCCCACGCAGCCTGGGGGACTGTGAGCTGGGGTGGGGGTGAGCCCAGGAGCAGAGGTGGAATCCTTGCGTGGGAGAGGCCAGAGGGGCCTGGTGGGCGGGACTCAGGCAGCAGCTCAGGAGTCTGCACACAATTCAGAGTCTGGAAAAATCCCTCTGGCAGTGCGGTTGGTGGAGAACCTGGAGGCCCCCCGGGTGCTGTTTTGGGAATTTGTGAGGTGGTTTTTTTCCTCCTAGTACTAAGGATTGAATCCAGGATCTTCTCGCTGAGCTACACACCCAGCTCTTTTTAAAATTTTTTTCAATTTTTAGGCAAGGTCTCACTAAGTCACTAGGTTGCCCAGGCTGGGATTGAAGTGGTGATGCCCCTGTCTCAGGCTTTCTGTCCCGCCGTGCCTGGAGGAGGGTGTTTTCAGTGACTGTGAAGACTCCTGGGAGTTAGGGGATGAGGCCTGGGTGCTGGATGTCTTGTGATGTGTGGGACAGTGCACACCCTGGAGAACTGCCCATGTGCTGCTCGACTGTTGAATTTCCTGCTGGGCATCGAGGGAGAGGAAGAACAGCTGGGAGGGAGTGTCGGCGCTGCTCAGGCGCAGAGCACAAGCTGGCCTGGCCATTAACGTACACCGAGTATGCTGCACACACTCAGGGGGACTGCTCCTTGCTGTTCAGAGGCGCATGACCTGTGCTGTTTGGGAAAGTCATAGCCTGCTGCCAGCGCACACGGGGTGTCTGAGCTACCGCCAGGACACTGCCTGAACCGCTCTGCGACTATGGCTCACCCTGGGGATTCTGTTTATAGCTACGAGGGTCTTGTTACTTTGTTATGTTCTCCAGTGTAGTGAATATCTGTATTTACAATTTAAAATACGTATCATCTTAAATTGCTCTTTGTTTATTTTTGTTTTTTTTTTCTTTTAGACAGGGTCTCGCTACTCAGGGCAAGCTGGTCTGGAACTCATTATGTAACCAACGCTGGCCTCAAACTTGTGTCGATCTTCCTGCCTCAGCCTCCCAAGTGCTGGGATTACAGGCGTGGGCCACCATGCCCAGCTTTTGTTTATTAACCAACACTCACTTAACTCCTAATATATGCCTGCCAGGTGTGGTGGTGCACACCTGTAATCCCAGCACTCGAGAGGCTGAGGCAGGAGGATCATTGCGATTTTGAGACCAGCCTGGAACACAAAGTGAGCCCAAGGCCAGCCTGAACTGCATAGCACAATCCAGTCTCAAAAAGACAACAACTATATATATATATATATACACATATATATTTATGCAAAACAGTGTTCTAAATGCTTTATAAATAATTAACTCATTTACTCCTCCAAACAGTGCTATGCAGTAAAGTGGTGTTGTTATCCCTCTTTTTACTTGGGGCTAAACTCAGGCTCAGAGAAGCTCAGTGACTTACTCAAAGCCACACAGCTGGGAAGTGGAGAACTCAGGATCTGAACTCACACCCATGCCCTTCACCACTGGCCTACTGTGACCCCCCTGAAACCTCAGCTTGACACTGGGACCATTTCCTTCTCTTTGCAGTACTAGGGATTGAACCAAGGCCTTGCACATGCTGGGCTAGTGCCCTGCCCCTGAGCTACATCCTCAGCCCTTTTATTTTTACTTTTGAAACAAGGTCTAAGTAAATTGCCCAGGTTGAGCTTGAACTTGCCATCCTCCTGCTTCAGCCTCCTGACTAGCTGGGATTACAGGTGTGGGCCATGAAAACCAGCAAGGCTGATTACCTTTTGGAAGTTATGTGCAAATGTATGTCCTGTTGCATTTCAGGGTAATAAAAGGTGATACAAAATATCTGTCATCAGCCAGGTGTGGTGGTGCATGCCTGCAATCCAGCACTCTGGAGGCTGAGGCAGGAGGATCACTGAGAGTTGCAGCCCAGCTTGTGCTCCATAATGAGACCTTGTCTCAAAAAAAAAAAAAAAAAAAAACAGCCAAACAATCCTAAAATATCTGTCTTCAAGGGAAATTGAGACAGGGGTAAGAACCACCGGTGGACCGCTTGTGAGAGCCGGGCTGGTCAAGGCTTGGAAGTGCTCTGCAGGGGCACCCCAACATTTGATGGGCGTGATAACTAGGAAAGCAGGAAGGAAGCCAGGGGAGCGAGGGCCAGGAAGCCGCAGGGAGTAGGATGCAGGACGAGGGGGTGGGAAGGCCTGAGAGGCCTGGTGAGGTCGGGGCTGACAGGTGATCTGGGGTCCGGGTGAGCGCGGGGGACAAACAGCCGCGAGGCGCTGAGGAGGGGACACAGGGCCTGAGGTGGGCACAGGGTCCTGCTGCATGGGTCTCCAGGGTCCCTGGGGGCGATCTCCGCGGTGGGGCGTCCCTATCCCCTGTCCCAGTGTCCGCGGCAGCCCTGCAGCTTCTGCCTGCGCCCAAGTGCACTGCTGGTCTCCCCACGCGCCAAGGTGGTGAAGAGGAAACAGAGGCCCGGAGAACCTGCCTGGGCGCGGAGCGGAACCAGGACCTGACGCCCCCACTCCGCCCAGGGCCCCAGCCTTCCCGCGGTCCTGCAGGCCCAGCAGCAGGGAACCACGAGCGGCCCGGGAGGGGACTCTACTCCGGGGCCCGCCTTAGCGGACCTCCGGGGCGGTCCCAGGCGCGGCCACCAGGTGGCGCGCGGGCTGCGGGTCAGAGCGGGTGTCAGTGTCCACGCGTTCGGAGACCCGGGCTGCGGGCAGCGCCGCTCCTCGTTCCCCGCGGGGCTGCCTGGGGCTCTCGGGAATCAGGGAAGCCGAGGCCCGCGGACTCGCGGCTCACTAAGGCCTCGCGGAGCGGGAGCTGTTGTGACTCCCAGGTTACAGATGAGGAAACTGAGGCCCAGGGAAGGGCGCGGGAGGTCGCGCCGTAGGCCTGTGCTTTCCACGTGGGGGGAGCGGGGTTTCCACGAGGGGGCTCCTGTGTAAGCGAGAGGTGCGGATCAAAGGTGGATAGGGGTCCCTGAAACCAAGGGGCGACCCCCTCCAGCAAAGAGTAAGGCTCGAGGGCGACGGTGACTCCCACGGGTTCAGCAACTCCCCCCCCCAGCCTGGCACTCAGCGGGACCACCCGCCACGGACGCCCCACGCAACCTCGCTCACCCCGGTGGACACCCGGCCCCCCATCCCGGCCGCCGCCTCTCCACGCGGAGGGCAGAGCCCCGGGCCTGCGTGGGCGAGTTCATGGTCACTGAGCTGGGCAGGAGGCAGGCATGGTTTGGCAGGGACAGGGCTCGTTTCAGGAAAGTCCCTTCATCAAGGGGACCCCCTCCCCAGCAGGGGACGTAGAGAAGGGACGTTGTTTTGTTGTGCCTTTGAGGTGACCTAGATTCCTGGGTCCAGCTCCTCCTGAAGGCCTCCTCCTCTGCAGCCAAATGATTTTGCTCTCCCCGCCTGACGCAAGCCAGCCCAGAGCAGCGGGAGACCGTAGGTTAGACAGCAGGAAGGACTGGACTTCACCCGAGAGGAGCTTTGGGTTCCAGCGCCCGCTGCGTGGAATGGGGTCTCAGGGCGCACGCTGAGGTTTGCGAAGTTGCCCGCAGCAGGGGCGAGATCAAGGCCAAATGGAGAGGCGGAACCGGCTCCGTTTGTGGAGGGCCGGGGCCAGTCAGTGTGGGGCCTGGGCCTCGATTTGATCTGGGAGGCGACAGGGTGGGGCTAGGGGGTGGAAGAGGTGGGCCAGGAGCTGGGGTGGAGACTGGGGAGTGGGTGCCCTGGCTGGGAGGGGAAGGAGCAGGTTGGGGGGCTGCGCTGGGTGGGAGGGGGCCCCAAGCCGGCAGGCGGGCCTGGCCCGAGGGGTCCCGCAGGGTGGAGCCGGGAAGGATAGGGTCACCGAGGACTTGCAGTGATGAGATCACCTGGTTGGACAACCTTGGCCAGCCCCTCCCAACAGGACTGTCCCCAAGGAGGCGGGGGAGGGGCTGGGGACTCAAGCTGAGCCTAGGGAGGAGGGTCAGACCCCTCCCCTGCAGTCGGTGCCCGAGGGGGAGGGGAGGGGAGGGGAGGCGGGCGGGGGCGGGGCCGGGCCTCTGTCCACAGCATTAGTGCTGGTTGGAGGGACGCGGGGGGTGCAGAGCCGGCCGGGCCTCCCGTTCCCACAGCAGCGGGCAGAGCGGGGCTGCTATGGCGCTGGCCAGGCCTGTGACCAGGGACTCCAGTCCCCTTCGCCCTGTCCTGCTGCCGCCACTGGTGCTGCTGCTGCTGCTGCTACCCTGGTCCTCCGCCCTCGCCCTGGTGGCTGGTGAGTGGGGCCTGGGGGTGGAGTCTGTCCCTAGGGCCAGTGGCCTGCGTGGAGTCAGGAGTGCGTGGCAGAGAGCAGGGCTGCGGGCCTCTGAACTTGTGTGGGGCTCCGCGTCCTGGGACTTGGGGCAGTGCCCCCTGAGGGTGGTGGGGTGCTGGCTGTGACCGGCCTTGGGCGCCAGGTGTGTGTGTGTGTGTGTGTTGTGTGCACGCACGTGTCTCATTCCATGTGGGGCTGCTGGCACCCCTCCTTGGAGGGGTGTTGGGGCTGAGTGCCCTGGGGTGTGAGGGATGGAGTCTGGGGAGCTGCAGGATCAGGGCCTCGCCTGGACCTGCTGAATTGGGGTGCTGGGGTCGGGGTGCCAGTGGGGTGTGAAAGTTGTGGGGTGGATGAGCTGGGAGTCGTGCAGAGGGGACTGGGTGTGCTGAGTGTGTCCAGGCTACTGAGGGGTGTACACTGTCCAGTGGGCTGAACAACCGGGGTCTCTGCTGGAGACAGCGGGCCCTGGAGGGGGCAGGGGACCCCAGCTCTGTGGGGGGAAAGAGACCTCAGGGAGCTGGCCCTCACTGGCGTGGTCTCCCTGCCTGGCCTGGCCTGGCAGCTGGAGCGGGCAGTGCTGCTCTGGGTCCTCGGTGGGGTGGGGAGTGGGTGAGAATACACGTGTGTCCCCTGCTGTCCCTGCCTGGCAGTCTCAGACCCAGGTGCCTTGGTCATCTGAAGCCAGACCCCTAATGGCCAGGGCTTTTTGCATTTATCCAAGTGGACACACATATGCATGGGGCCTGGAATTTCCACTGGGGGCCTGGGGGGCGCTTCGTCCTGGGCACCAGGTCTGGGAAGTGCCCACTCCCTGCTACCTCCACCTCCAGCTGGAGGAGGGAGCCGAGGAGGACCCGGCCTGCGCTCTGTGTAGCCAGGGAGGTCGCCTCCTGACCCCAGCCCTACGGTGTCCTTTGACCTCCCTTGGGGCTGTGTGCTCAAAGCTTCCCCTCCTGCTCTTCTCCTGCTGCCACTAGGCCGGGCGAGGACCCCACTGTGTAGGGAAGGAAACCAAGGCTCAGGGAGGGACGGGGGCTTAGGAGCTGGGTCGCCGGGGCTGCTCTCTGCACACAAAGGACATGAAATCCCACTCTGTGGGACTGCCTGCCCGTGCCCTGCAGAACACACATGTACACGTGCGTGCACACCTGTGTGACATGCACTGGGCACACACTGCCACATGAGCAGGTGCCATGGCACATGTGGGCCCTCCACAGGCGGACTCACACACACACACCCCATGTACCATGGCATGCACCATGCATGTGTGTAGCCACGTGTTGTACATTTACACCATGCACCCATGTGCGCATGAGGCAGGGTGGGCACAAAGCGGGTCAGAGTGCAGAGGGAAAGGTACACTGGCCCCCGGGGTGCACCTTTTCCCCCGAGCCTTTGTTTGCACAGGGAGCCCCATCCCTGGGATCCCAAGAGGTGGATGATGGTTTCTGGATGCCATTACCCAAGGCTTGACTGTGGGGAGGGGGAAGTACTGGAGAACTCATTTCCATCCCAGAGGAGGTGGACTTCTGTGCTGCCTACCCTGCCAGCCCTGAGCTGGGCCCCGCCGTCCCGGCCACTCTGCCTCAGAGGCCCGCTGGTTGCTATAGCGAGGACCAAGCATCTTGGAGTACAATGGGACCCCCCCTTCTTGAACACCCAGGGAGCCCAGCAGACAAAGGGGCAGCCAGCCTGGTCCCCATGTCTGCCCCTCTTCCAACCGGAGGAGGTGGGGGCCTGCAGTACAGAGCAGGGATTGGGCGGGAAGCCATACGCACTCGCCCAGCTTCAGGATCCTTGGGTGCTTGATGTCCGCCTCTGCAGAGGTCTGTTGAGTGAATCACAGCCGCCCCTACAGCAGGCACTGCTCGATGGGCCGACAGATAGGCTTTAATCTTCCCTGCGGCCGGTGAGGTCAGCGCTGATACAGCTGTTGATAGAGGAGGTAGAGGGGGCCAGGGAGAGCCATAACTCGCCCTGAGCACGCCGTGCGTGTGTGACAGGGCCAGGGTTTCACGGCTGACAGTGGCTCTCTCCTTAGGAAAGTCAGTCCTCTCCGTGCCTCAGTGAGACAGGACGCAAACTTCGCTCTGAGGCCAAGAGAAGAACTTGAGGCAGGGCTTCTCTGACCTAGCTCTGGGTATGGAACCCCAACTTCAAAGGAGATTTTAGGGAGAAGTCTATTAATAGTTAATAGTGAAGTGGTTAAAAGTGGCCCGTGCAGGTGGCAGGTCCAGATTCACCGGCCCTTGTCCCCTGGGTACCCAGAGCTCTGAGACCGGGGTTGGAAACGCTGGGACGCTCCACACCAGGCACAGAGGGCACTAGTATCGAACGCTGCCTCTTGGCCTCTTGGCGCGGACATTTTTTGACAAAGAGTATTCCAAACTTTCCCACCTTTTAGAGATGTGTGCGCTCTCGTGCCAAGGCTGAGTGGGTGTCTGTGAAACCCTCCTCAGCGCCACTCACCACCCGGCCATAGCGGGTCAACAGTTTCCCGCCACCCATGAGGAGGTATCGGGTGGGTACGTGGAGATATGTTCCCTCCTGCCTTGTCCGGATGGGCAACTTCCCCAGATCGACTCTTAATACAACACTCGTCGCCCATTGGGCTTAATACCTCAACCCGTAGGAGTTAAGAGCCCTGAGCGAGGCTCTGCGCAGCTAAGAAAGGCTGCCCGCTCCAACCGGCATCCCAGTCCTTTCCGCGTCTCTAGAAGCACTAGGGAAGGGTCCCGGGGCCCCGCTATGTGAGACAGTGCTCCCCCGCGGAGCCACACCTGCAGCCCCTGGTGCTGCGTTCTAGAGAAAAGTTCCCGGTGCAAGTGTGAGGCTGGGGAAGACATGCTGAGCCACATAAAATATGAAGGTGGCGATTTCACACGCATTGGCAGCACGCTAAGGATCTGGTTCTTAGTTTCTGAAGGGATGATCCTGGGGCAAATTTTTTTTTGGGGGGGGGACAGGGTCTTGCCATGGTTCAAGCTGGTGTTGAATTCACTATGTAGCCCAGGCTGGCCTCGAACTTGGGGTGATCCTCCTGTCTCAGCCTTCAGAGTGCTAGAATTAGAGGCATGAACCACCGTTGGTTGATCCTGGGCAGTTTAATCAAACTTCGCTTTTAAAAAGTAGAAGTTTTCTTAACAGCCCCCCCTTCTGGTTCGAACCAAGTATAGCAATGTAATAATAGATGCACCATCCTAGCATGTAGTGGGCACTCAGTGAATGGATCGGCCCGCCTGCCTCCCCGGCGGGGCAGGAGGCAGGTCGAGGACAGAGGCTGCGTCCGTTAATCCCTCCCCTGCCAGGTCAGCCCAGGCAGCCCCAGAGGTCAGGAAGGATTTGTAAAGATAAGCACAGGCCCCTCGTTGCCCTGGCAACAGGCCCCGCCCCTCAGACTGGCCTGGGACAGCCCCACCCCCGCGCGCCTGCTCCCTTCTCTGAGCCAGCCTGGCCTCCCGGGCTCCCCAAGACAGACACCCTGAAAACCAGCGTTCCCACCCCTCGGGGCGCAATGCAGATTCTGGGGCCGTGGGCCGATGATGGTTCTGGATCGGGCGGGCTCCGGGTCACTCTGGAATCCCGGGACTGGGGGCTCTGGAGCAGCGAAAACCAGGTTCTGATTCCAGCCCCTTTCGGGCTGAGGGACTGGGCAGTGACTTCCTCCCCGAATCATTTTACTCTGAGGGCTGAACTCCATCTCCCGAGCCCATCTATGCTGGCCCTGGGAGGACCCCAAGGCACCAAGACCCCAGGGAGGGCAGATTGTAAGAAGCTCCCCCACCCGCCACCCCCAGCACCATGTCCCAGTCTAGGCCCTGCTCTCCAATGTAGCAGGCTCAGAATCGGGGCCCAGCTCCAGACTGGGGTGGGGGCACAGGTGAGGGGCTGTGTGAGCTGGGCTGAGAGGGGTTCTGTTTGCATAGGACCCAGCAGCCAGGTCCCTTCACCATGGCAGCTGTGACCCCTGTCCTCCCGAGTCGTGTGGGCCAAGGGACCCCAACTGGCACGGGCCACAGCCCCACCCAGAGGGCTCCCTGAGTGCCAGGGCTGCACACGGGTCACCTCGGAGTCCTCCCAATGCCCCTTCCTGGGGCTACTGTTTGCACCCCAGATACAACCCAGATCTGATGCCCAAAACCTATGCCCTTCCTGAGGGAGCTCGACCCATACCCATCCCAAAAGACGGTCTTCTCCCCTTATCAGACCATCTTCCCTACCCCCACGGGCAGTGCATGCAGGCACCCAGCCCTCGGAACCTGGGAAACTCAACTGTAAACTGTAAAACCTCAGCCCCAGTCGCCTCCTCCTCCTCCCCTCCTCCGGGACCAGGTCTGGCCGAGGGGCTGGGGACCTGGGAACGGACGCCCAGGGCAGAGCAGCGCATCGCAGTGCGAGCCGTCCCCTCGTCCTGAACGTGTTCTAGATTCCTTGTGCTCTGCCACACACCCCCGGCCCTAGCAGGTGCTGGGCCCCCAGTGTGAACGGATGAGCCTGTGTTGAGCTGCACCAGGGGCTTGGACACTTGAGGCGGGACTGGTCACCCATATCTCCCTAGCTCACTGTCCCCTGTCCCCTGCCCTGTTTGGGCTTGCTGGGGAGTGTGGGGGCTGGGCCAGTGGACAGCCCTGTTGTCGGCATGTGGATGACGCCTTCAAGGCTGGCAGCCTTATCTGGGGGCTTCACAGAGGGAGAGGGGAGGGTGCGGGGCCTGGTGCTCTGGGGCCTGGTTAACGTCCAGATGACAACCTGGACGGGGGAGGGGAGCTCCAGGTGGGGCTCCTGCGGGAAGCCCCTCCCCCACCCCAGCAAGTTCCCGCAGGAAGCATCCAAGCTTGGGACCCTTTACTGTTCATCCGAGGGGTACACTATTCTCATTCCCTCTCTGGGCTGGGAAGGGCTCGGTAGGAAGAAGGACTTGCCTACCGTCTCCTAGGCAGTCATTTTCTGAGCTGGCATTTGAACCCAGGCCTGTGAGTGAGGAGGCTGTCAGGTAGGGAGGGTGGGGGATGGGAGAGAGGGTCCCTGGGTCTCGAGTCCCAGCCAAGCTGGAGACCTCGAAGTGCTGACTTAGGTGCTCGGTGCCAGGGGGCTCAGTACCTGCTCTGACCCGTGACCTTGGCCAGCCCCACGTCCAGGTCAGGTGCTTGCTGAGTGGTGGGGGAAGAAGTGAAGGCCTGGGGACCCTCCAGCAGCTCCCAGGCCAGCAGGTGGGAGGGGGGTGAGGTCCAGCCTTTGAAGTCACCCTTCCCTTGTAGGAGGCCGAGGTCAGACATCTCGGATTTCACACAGGGATGGAGTTACCAGGCCCCGACAGCAGAGGGGCAGGGCAGGGGAAGCGCCCCCTCCTTCAGGCTGATGCCCAGTCCTCCTGGCCTGCTTCCAGGAGCGGGGTGCAGAAAGGGGAATCCAGAAAGGATCCCTCCCCGGTGTGGCCCAAACAAGCTGGACAGTGCCGCCTATCCCAGGCTGAGACCTTCACGACAGCCTTGTTTTTCTTTCTTGAGTCTATTTGCTGCTTGGGCACTGGGCACCACGACAGCCCCTGTCCCCCAGGGCACGGCCACTGCCAGGATGGGAGGAGACCGTGTAGGGGATACTCATAGCCTTGTGTTTTCTCATTAATCTTGCCAGGGTGCGAGGCACCAGGCCTACTTCTCTGCTCTGGAGACACTGGAAACCAGTCCCCAGGTGTAGAGGACTGCAACCTGCTGGGCCCCTGCCTTGCACCCCAGCCCCTCATGCACCCCCAAGCATGGACAGATCCGGGCTGCCTGCTGGGGTCTGTGGCTCCGAGTGTGGGAAGTGGTGTCCATGCAGCCCCTGCCCAGCTTCTCTCCTCTTTCCACAGGGACGGTGCCTTCAGAGATCCCGAGTGGTCAGACCTCAGACCCATGTGGCTCAGGGCCGTGCACTCCAGGGACCAAGTGCCAGACAACAGACAGCGGCGGCCACACCTGTGAGCCCATGGAGCCCCAGGGCTGTGCCACCCAGCCCTGTCACCACGGCGCCCTGTGTGTGCCCCAGGGTCCGGATCTGAACGGCTTCCGCTGCTACTGCGTGCCTGGTTTCCAGGGTCCCCACTGTGAGCTGGACATCGATGAGTGCGCATCCTGGCCCTGCCACCACGGGGCCACCTGCCGCAACCTGGCTGATCGATTTGAGTGCCACTGCCCTCTCGGCTATGCAGGTAATGTCTGCGCTGCTCTGGGTGGAGACCTGGACTGTGGTTCCTACCCAGAGCTACCAGTCTAAATAGCCCGACTCAGCTCTGGCTTTAGTCATGAGCTGCCCCAGGATACTTGCAGTGCTGGGTGACCCCACTCCTGGGCTTACTACAGAACTGCCGCCTCTTGGCCCGACCTGGCAGCTCCAGGGACAGTGTGTATGTCTGGGTGTCTGGCCTCTTTCAGGCACTTGACAAACACTATTTCGACCCCTTCTGCACAGCTGGGTTTGGCTCTGGAGTGGAGCCCAGCCTCAGGCATCCCTGGCAATGCAGAGCAGCCTGGCAGATTGGGCTGGTTTCTCTTTCTCGGGGACACCCAGACAGCACGTGGAGCGTTCTCTCACTCCAGACCTGTCACGCAGACACCGTCTGGCTCATCCGATGGCCCTAGAGGGAGAACACCCTTGAGGGAGCTCAGGATATAAGGCTGCAACACAGACCCTCTGTCCTCTGCTGTCCTCTGAGGTCCTAGCCTGGAGACCACTCGCGGTCTTGTTCCAGTTGGGACGCCAATGTGCTCAGAAAAGCGACCAGCACTGAGCACACATAATTCTGGCCTCCGGAGAACAGCTGCCCAGTCTCCGCCAGCCTGGAGGCCTGGGCACCCTGTAGCTGCTGCCTGGAGGTTGGAAAAGGGTGCAGCTGGTAGGAGGGGACAGGCTATTGAGTGGGGCTCAGCCTAGCGCAGTCCACAGTCCGAGACATCCCTGAGTGCAGAACACGCTGCACAACCCTTCTGAGAGCAAAGGGCAAGTTGCAGTCACCGCAGAGACTGGGGGGCCAAGTTCCAGGTGCGGGCATGCAGTGAGATGCTTCCCCATATCTTGTTTGTCCTCTGTCTGGTGTCTGGCTGTGCCGGCTGTGCACATGCAAGTGTGGTCACGTCTATCCGCGTGTCTCTGTGCGTGTGAAGGTCTGCTTCATGGGCCTCCATGTATCTGCCCTGTCCGTGGGCATCCGGGCTCTCTGAATGCCTTGCTGCGTGTGACGTGTGCACGTACACTGGCAGGTGTGCATGCACCGGAAGTTCATCGCTCTGATAACTCCCGGGTGTGAGCCAGCGTCTGCCATGACTCATCTCTCTCCTTCCACTCCAGGCTGGGAGGGGGAGGTTGGGATTCCAGGAGGCCTGAGCCTGGCTCCCCCTGGCACAGAGGGTGGGAGGGGAGGAGGGGAGCTGGAGGGTCATGGGAAGGAGGGACTGTGTTTTGTGCTCACTGAGCTGGGAAGGGGAAGATTCCAGCGGGAGTCCGCTGGGCCCCTCCACCCCATGGCCAAACCCACTGTGTGTGGGGGGGACAGGGGTGGAGCAGGGCACAGTGGGGTCTGTAATGACGCCTGAGCTCCAGGGTGAATCTTCAAATCACGAGATTCTCCGTGGGCAGCTACCCAGCCAGCGTGGCTGGTTACCTTACTCCAGCGGCTCTTCCCAGGGGTCCCTCCTTAAAGACATCAGCGAGCCTTCCGGAATGTAGACAGGACCACCTCACTCAGCTACTTACAACTTTTAGGATGAGCTCAGAGTCTGTTACCTGGCCCCCAGCCTTGAGCCCTCACCTCACTCCTGCCTCACCTGCCAGCTCTTCCTCTTGCTCCAGGGCCCCACCCCTACCCCCACCCCCAGCAGGACCTGACCAACTGCAGTCACCTGGCATCCAGGAGCCAGGTATCCCAATCTTTCAAAAATCTCTTCCTGCTGGGCGTGGTGGTGGTGGTGGTGCAAGCCTGTGATCCCAGCACTCGGGAGGCTGAGGCGGAAGGACCGCTGTGAGTTCGAGGCCAGCTTGGGCTACACAGTGAGTTCAAGGCCAGCCTGAACTGCATAGCGAGACCCTGTGTCAAAAACCCCAATCTCTTCCTTCAACAAGCCTTCCCTTCTAATTCCCCAGTCAGGGACCTGGCTCTTGCTTTCACAGGATCCGGTTCCCTCGCTCCCAGAGCTTGTGATTACTAAAAGCCAGTCCTTGCTTAGGTCCTGACCCAATCCCGGCTCCAGGCCTCGACCGCTGAGGGCTCCACTAGGGCAGGGATGTGGCACCTGCTCTGAGTGAAGGAGCCGAGGGGTCGTCTCTGTGCGGAGCCGCACGCGCGGGTCGCCCCTTGTAAGTGGAGCAGACGCGACCGCTGGCAGGCCGCTCTCGCCTGGCCTGGGTGTGCACCGCCGGGTTTCTGTCTCCGGCCCCGTCCAGGTGCGACCTGCGAGGCCGAGGTGGACGAGTGCGCCTCCGCGCCCTGCCTGCACGGGGGCTCGTGCCTGGACGGCGTGGGCTCCTACCGCTGCGTGTGCGCGCCGGGCTACGGGGGCGCCAGCTGCCACCTGGACCTCGACGAGTGCCACAGCCAGCCGTGCGCGCACGGGGGCACGTGCCACGACCAGGTCAACGGGTGAGCGGGGCGGGGCCGCGG